GGTGGTGGTCTTATTTTTTGTTTGAGTATCAGCACTAACCTTTCAAAGAAACCAAACCGCACTGAACATGCACTGGGTCACCCCATTAACCCACAGCCCATCTTTCCGAGTGGAGCGCATCGGTGACGAACTGCAATCATTCTCAACATAATCATGCTTCAGCATCTTACTTTGAAATTTCAACAGGTAAAAATTCCCCATCTCGGTGTGAGATTGCATCATGAATTCCTTCTGCAGGGATAGAAAAATACCACTTTTCAGCCTTGCACAATGCTTGATGTAAGTTTCTGAAAACAGGAGCTCCTGAAAGCCCCAAAGTGTAGAATAATGCAACTCATTTATAGATCCCCGATAATAGATGTGGTTTCTGTTACTCTGTTACCACATCAAGGATTACTCCTGCTCCTTCAGGAAGGACACGGCACCCTCCTCCTCACAAGCCATTACCATAAAGCGGGATAAACAGCAAATACCACCTTATCATTAGCTGCATGGAGCGGTTCCCATTGATTTATGACGCTAAACACTGCAAGGTTGGAGCAGGCTGCAAGCCCCTTTTCTGCAAACGGTATTTCCACAAGAGCATCATAAAACACATGGAGTCACCTCACCTGGGCTGGGTTTTGTTCACCAAAAAGAAAAAAAAAAACAGTAATGCTTTACAACTTGCAGGAATTCTCCCCAATATCAGTTATTAACAACCCCAAGATGGCATTTGCATTTTTATAACCTTGTTACTTAAAAGTGAAACAGTAGAGGGAAGGACTTAGTGGTGGCGTTCCCTGCATGCTTTAATCCCAGCCTGAGCTTTTTATGCTTGAGAGCACCTTATGATGCTGTAACTAACCTCAAACCTGGAGCAGCAGGAGGGCAACAAACCTCCGAATACAGCAATGTCATGCTTTACAGGCACACTCTCTGCAACAGCATGAATGAAGGGAAAAAAAAAAAAAAAAAAGCCTCGTTGCCTAGGAAACCCTCCAGTCTTGGTAATTATTACTGTAACTGTCTGCACACCCCACCTATAACAGAAATGAATAATAAATTATCGGCGCTGACTGGCAGCTTTCTGCTGTTGCTTCTGCTCGGCGCTGCGACCTACCGGTGTGCACCAGGAACTGCAGCACCCCTGCACACCCCACAGCCTTCCGCAGCCCCACATCTCCCCCACACAACCCCCGGGTGGGCTCACGTCACACAACACATGCACCGTGTCACAGCAGCAGCGTATCATGCACCTCGTGTCATTGCATCATGGAATGGTTTGAGTTGGAAGGCACCTTAAAGCTCATCCAGTTCCAACCCCTTACCACAGGCAGGGACACCTTCCACTAGAGCAGGTTGCTCCAAGCCCCGTCCAACCTGGCCTTGAACACTGCCAGGGATGGGGCATGTACCACCTCTTTGGGCACCCTGTGCCAGTGTCTCACCACCATCATGGTGAAGAACCACAGTGAAGAACTGCAGCAAAGAATCACAGGTCGCCTCATCCGCCGCACAGCATTGAAGGACTTCTGCTGGCGGACTAGTTTGTTTAGAAATTAGAACACTAGGAGTGATTTACTGGATTTGATTTAAAAGACACAGCAGGAGTTGGCAAAATTCACATATCATGGGGTTAATGTGGGTTAGAATGGAGCTATTTGTAATACAAAAATATTGCATACCAAATACACACATCTGATTTCTTTTAATCCCAGCTCATTTTTTGCAACATAAATCACTTTGTTAAAATGAACAGCTAAAACAGCTGGTTTAGACACTCTTGGAACACAAAAATCTGCTGCTTTAGATGCTCTAAGTGAGCAATGAAAAGTGCTAAGTGCAACTAGTCTTACAGGAAAGAGACGGAAATAAATCCAGTTTACCTCCGAGAGCACGTCATGGTCTCCACTGGCTCAGGCCAGCCTGGCAGCTGCCAGCACAGACCCAGCTATGGGAACATGCAACAGCAATGGCCATCACCAGTTCCTTCAGCTTCTCCAGGCCAGACCCACAGCTCTGGGGTAAACCAACCCATTCTCTGGGTGCAGGCAGCTGCCCAACTGACTTGTGTACAATTAAAGAAGATTGAAGAGTCAAATTTGCCTCCCAGTAAGGAACAGAAAGGGAGCAGGTAATCTGCTGTGCCTAATTGATGCAGTGATGGCCCTGCAAATGACTGTGTGGGGTGGCTGCTGGGTACGGCATGGCATGGCTGGGACACACTGACTTGTCCCTGTGGCCAAGCAATGCCCACACAGGCTGCTGCCACCATGCTCAGCTCGGACCAATGACATCTTGTGCAGCAATGGGCCATGTCCTTCCTGCTGAGGACACACAAAACCTCTCAGGATACACCAGGAAGAACCTAATCTTCCTCGGTGGTGCTGCCTGGCACACAAGGAGCTCTTGTGGCAGCAGGAAAAGCCATCAAGGGTGTTTCAGAAATAGGATAAACTGTGCTTTTGTTACTACTGAAGCAAATACAACCTCTAACTGCAGTACTGGGGGGAAAAGATGCTCGTATCGGCAGACTAATTTACCACCAGGAATCCTACGTGCCTCAAATCTGGGGCACCATTGCTTCATCCTGCTGTTTGCCTCATCCATATGTTGGTGGTCACCTGCATCCACTCGTTGGATTCAGTGTTGCACAAAAAGCAAGTTTTCAGTCCTTACTGAGACAGGCCTTCACATGACCTTTTTTTTACTTTTTAGACTTTTATCTACTTTGGTAGATTTAGTTTTAGTTCAGCATTTGCAAACATTCTGTAAGAACCCTGCAGCCGTCTATTCTTGCTCCAGGCACTGCACTGCGAATCTAGTAGTAAAGCCCAATGAAGAGCCTGAAGATGAAACATCATTCCGGGCTGCAAACCCTCTGACAAGTAAATATACTGCAGAAAGGGCACAGACACATTCAAGCTCCCTATTAGGGAAAACACTCATGTGCTTAGTTTTAAGCATGTGGTTAAATCCATTCTTCTTTGCAAAATCTTTGCGACATAAGCACATGCCAAAGTGCATTCCTGAGTAAGGATGCTTCCCTGAACCGAGGCCATAATTCATTAAAACCCAAGGTGCATTTATCCTACTTTTTCCCGTGAGCAAGGATGTGAAAAGAAAGGGAGCTGAGGGGGAGAAGAAAACAAAGAATTAATTTTGATTTGAAATTGATGTATGGTGACAAGGGGCATTTGGTTTTGTTGAAGTAACTAGAAGTGGGAAGTATTTCAGAAGATATCTAAATAAATCTTTTTAAAGGGTTGGGTTGTTTTTTTTTTTTTTCCCCTCTCTCCTTTTCCCTCTAATTACCCATGTCTGGTAGTCTTGGATCTCAACCCCTTGTTATTTAAAATACATATTCATAGAACTATATTTTACAGTTGCACTGTTCTGGTTACAAAATAGCTTCTACTTTTCTAGGACATAATTTCATTTTGTTTAGCCAAGAATTCATTAAAGAAGCTATAAATAACCTCCTTTAAATATTTAGCCATGAATAGAGGGTGGACTGGCATTGATGGCTTATTTTAGTACTAATGCAATATGCTTTAAAAAAAAAAGAATCCACATTTGAGCATGAATCAAGTTAATCATTAACACTTTCAATGTGATCCTCAGGATCTGCTTACAAGGGAGGCTGCCCCCTCCCATGTGAGCTCTGGGCACAGGAGGGGTGCACTTCTTCTCCTGCAGGTCTTTCAGCAAGCCATGGTCTGCTTCGTCCCATGGGAGGGCACAGCTCCTCAGACCTGGGGGCTGCTGCCCTTGCAGGGACCCAGCTGCCAGCCCCTTCTTACCTTCACGCTGCCCAGCACCTTCTGCCACGCAGCAGAGCATCAGAGTTAGATTGAGATGGCCTTTCATAAAGGGCATCTTCAGTCCCAATGCGTCCACCTCCTTTGTAAGCACAAAGAGACAAAAAGGGATGAAAATGGGGGAACTGATGATGCTGTGTTAATATCCTATGAGCCGTGAGGAGGTGTTCAAGGCCAGGCTGGATGTGGTTCTGAGCAATCTAATCTAGCTGAAGCTGTCCCTGCTCATTGCAAGGGGGTTGGACTAGATGACCTTTAAGGGTACTTCCAAGTCAAACTATTCTATGATTTGGGAGCAAAGGTGCAGTTATTTTAGGGGAAGATAAGAAAACAGCAGGAGATGCCTCGCTCATGGACAGCCAAGGTTTGGAGAACAAGATGATGGTGGGTCTGAAGCTGCCCCTTCATAAAGCCACAGAATCACAGCCAACAGCAAACCCTTCCTTACACCTCCCAAGCCTTTTTGCTTCACTTCTTAGGCTGAGATTTAATGATGTCAGCTGGAAAGTAACATCAGTTTAGAGTACTCCAGCTCCCCATTCCCTCTCTGCCAATGTTTCCCCTTACTTTCCTTGCTCAACACATTACCCCTCTAACTGTGCTGATAGAGACATGCTGACAAAGAGAGTAGGAAATACACCGACTTCAAAAAAAACCCACACACAACTACTGAAAACAGCAAACCCAGTAGTGTGAGTTTTGAATCCAGCTCTGTCACTTATTACCTTTCAAGCAGCGGCCCTTACCAAAGCTGTATCAGCATGAGAGGGGATGGCAAGAAGACAGGAAGGAGCTGCTGAGCAGAGACTCCTGAAGTCAGAATTGCTCTCAGTTGTGAGAAAGATACACAGGGATACATGAAACTGTACCCCAAGTGCTGCAGCATTGCTGCCTCTTGAAATAGAGTTGAAGCATTAAGACATTTTTCCTTAGTGCTAACTCCCTCTGGGCATTCTCAAGACAATTACAATGTTTTCTGAGTACACAAAAGAACTAGATTTTGTAATCAGTGTCTGAGTTTATGCTTCTCTCCTTAAGAGCATTCAATTTCCATGCACATTCTTTAGCAGGAGGTTAAAACACAATGGCAGAAGAGAACGGACTGTTTTTATGTCCATGTGGTAGTAAACACTTCAAGCTAGAAATGCAAGTTCAAAAACCTGTGCTCTTTCCAAATCAGTAGTAAAGCAACAAAAAACACACAACTTTCACAGCTTTTTTTTACTGAAAATTTAATTTTACAAAATACCCTTTTCCATCAAAGAAACTTCCCTGCAATGTACATGAACCCAGTGTTTTATAGATCTCTACAGTGAAATATCAGAGGTTTGAAAGAAGGAAAAAAACTTTCAGCAGACACCTAGTTGCAAAACCTACAACAATGTGAATACAAGTGTGTCTTAAAACGCTAAAGAAAGTAATGCAATATAACTGGTGAATCTATTTGAAATGTGAAAAGTTTCCTTAAAATGGTCCATATGGTATGTAGAACATCACAGCTGGCACTAAACTGCCTGTATTTAGGCTTAAACACAAAAACAATGTATGTAAGGAACAGTTTTCTGAAAAAGAACTCAAGTGCTGCTCTCATAAGGCAAACATACACAAAAGTGCTGACAGCACACAGGGAAACCCACAAATTGAGATGAAAACTCATGTTCAAATGCTGAACCTTTGTTTCTTTAAACTTGCCAATAAACATTTCAAGGATAACCAATGCCAAACTAACAAGAGGACACCCTTTTAACGAGCAAGGTGTCACACATACAGTTGTACATAGTCTCAACAAATATGCCCAGATATATCTCGTTGGCTGGGCAGAAACTAGCTGGGCTGCTGCATCCTGGCAGCTTTGAACTTTGAAATCCTCTTTGGAGGTTCTTCCGATGCTTCAGACAAGACTTCCTCTGATTTCCACTCCAGAATGGTAGGCAGAACACGCAGAGCAACGACTGGGTGTGGTATTAAAGAGGGAGACAAAGGCTCCTTTTCTACAACAGTTCCAGAAAATGCCTACAACAGAGGAGAATACTCAAAATGAGCTAATAAAATGCGAATGTGAAGCTATGCCCATAAAGTCATTACCCTGTATTAGCCTGATTAGGATTGTTATTTCTCTTAATCAAAAGTAAAGAAATGTCTTTAAATCAATGATCATTCCTTGCATAAGTAACCAAACTGTAATTAACCTCAAAATATAGCTTGTTCAAAGATGGCCAAATGAAAGGCAGTGGCTTAAAAGTACTACTTCATCTCATTCCTACCACATAAGTGATCTAAAAGTTTGCTTCCTCACTGACACATGCTCAAGAAATAAAACCACTGATGTAATATATAGCTTCATTTTGGATAAGGAATGCAGAGACTTTGCAAAGTTGGAGCATGTCAGCATTTCCATCACACGTCATATTTTATGACTTAGTACCTTCTAATTGCATCAAGCTGACACACTGCATACAAATTGGCAAGCACATATTTTGTTTGTTCTTTCTCCTTACCAAATATGATCAAGTAATGGTGAAAGCGATTTATATTTAAGAGAAAGGCAAACTTGCCTCCAACTATTTCTTTTAACTTGCCTCTATAAAAGATCTAATGAAAACATTTAATGTTTAAAAATTATAATTTATATGCAGTCTATTATGACTTAATCCTTTTTAGCTTAGCTAAGAAATGGTTCTTGGAAAACGCTGGGAAAAAAGCAGCGCAGAACTACTTTTTCTAAACATATTTAAGAACTAATCAACCTGCTACGTATTGGAAACAGAAAATTCAGAATACCTAAGGACAAGGGGAAGCAGTTTACATTCAAGTTTTGATGCTCAGACTGGGCACAAAGGAATGCACACCAGATTCATTAACGATGCTTAGTTCTGCTTCTTCATAACTCAGTTACCAAGAAAAACAAAGCAAAACAAACCAGCCATTCTTTTCTTGCAGGACCTGCAAAAAGCAGTGGGGTTTTGTTTTCTGCTCCAGTAGCCAAAGCCTGCCTAAAGCTGTGCCTGTACACAACTGCCTTGTTCTAACAACATGCTCATTTTCAGAAACAGGTAAGGAGAATCATGGTAAAATCAGAAGCAAAAGGAAGGAAGTTAGTGCATTGCAAGCATATTTAAAATGCCCACAAAACCAACCAAAACCACAGCGTTTAAGAAAGCATGTCCGACTGGAGTGGCTTGCTCTCTCTCGCCTTAACTTATTTAACACATTATACTGTTAGAGAATAATCATGCCATATTCAAAAAACGGATGGAGTGTACTTTGATGTTTTACAATAATATAGCAAATATACTCCAGAAAGTCTAGAACATGAAGTGCTAACTCTACAGATGGATCTTCCACCATCAATCACATCCTGCCTGGATTCATCTGTAGCTGTTTGTATGAAAAATTATGATAAACAATAGCTTTTATGAAGAATTTGTTTCTTGTAGAAAATGTGGTGGGTTTTTTTTAAATAGAGTTTACATTTACCTTGCTCACTGCATTGGAAACTACTGAAAACTCTGTTTCATCTAGTTTGAAAAGAATTAGTGCAAGTTCTTATATAACAGAAATGACAAATATTCTGCCCTGAATTTCAGAGTAGCAGCTACATTTAATTCTTGTACTCACCCAGTCACTAAAGCAACGGTACATTTTCCCTTACATTGTACAGTCTCTTTTGCTTACAATGAAGCCCTGAACTTTCCAACATGGGAAAATAGATTTGTTTGAGATCACTAATGGCCCTACTCTGGAATAGGATGAGTAGAGGTGTAGTGCTTCCTTCCACAGCGCAATTCCTAGGATGGGCAGAGGGGTAGTGCTGCCTTCCACAGGGCATTTCCTCTGTGTTTAGCAAGTCAGCTGGTACTTGTGCCTATTAATACTTAAAAACACCACCTGGGAACTAGATGCCAGGTAGCTGTGCAACACGATTGCTGAGAATCAACTCTCCCCTCTTGTCAACTACGAAGCACAGATTTCTATTTTTTCCTTTTTTTTTTTTTTTTTTTTAACCCTGCTGTATATCCTAAGGGATATTTTCAGGATGATCCAGTAGACACGACACTGCTTTCAGTCACTCCAGCAATGGACTGTTTTGTGAAATCCTCATGGAAGAGTATCAGGTCCTGGAAGCCCCTGACTCATCTCCTCCCCTCTGCCCCCAGGATGCCTATGACAGAACTTGTCATCTCACGATGTCCTTATGAAGCAAATTAGGTAGGAGTTAGAAAATTATTTTACAGGAATTAAACTGATGGTATAGACAACTACAGTCATTAAATTTCTTGTTTTTATCCCTGCCAACGATCAATAATTAATTAAAAACTGTACCTTGGTTGTCCCTGAAGAGAGAGGAAGCTTTTCCGGTTGCTGCTGCTGCCCCTCCTCCTCCTCAAGTATGCCTTCGCTGTTGTCACTCTGAGTGGCTTCATCATAGCTAATACTCCTCTGAACTCCTTGTCTGTCATCAAACTCAGCAGCACTCTTCTTACTGGTATCGCTACAAACACTGTTCTCTCTGCTTCGAGACTTCAAAATTGATTTACGAGGGACATATTCTCCATTCACAACATCAACAAAGACTCTATAAAGGAAAATAGGAAAATGCTGGCTTTAATAAACCATTTCAGGGTCAGATGACAAAGTTACAGTTACCTAGCTTTGTCTTTTGTACAAATTAATTATGATGTGTTTTTCCAACTTTTTTGCTGCAGAATTACAATGCTGTACCTTCTGAAGCGTTTTATTTACCAGTGTACAAGAATCAATTCTGCAGAGCAAACACTGTTTTGTCCTTTATTCAAGCATTAAGTTGGTCTGCTCTTCCAGCAGAAAACGTATAGCTCTTTGAAAAGTGTTAGGAAACAGAACAGTGTGAGTTATCCAAGTTAGGAAAAAAAGTAAACTAGACAATTGTCAGGGTTGTTTCAGGGAACAGAAAACCACAATGACTGAAGATTTTCTAGAATGAAGTCCTCGTCAGGTGTAGAATATAAAAACAAATACTGAAACATTCATTGCACATGGGAAGGATGAAGCTTGTTCCTGAAAAGTGCCATAAACTCCCGCTTTCAGTCAAAAAAAAAAAAAGAAAAAAAAAGCTTTTCAGATCAGATCAACACGACACTTTTCAAGTATTCTCAAACTGTAAACTGATAAAGAGGCCTCTTCCTACACTTTGTACTCCATTTCCATGACTTAAAGAAGTCAAGGGTGGGTGGAAGAGAAAGAGTGGCATTATAAGACAATTGTATCAAACTCATGAAGGAGAAGCCCAATGACTGGATGATTTTTAAGGGTGTTTTTTAACAGCTTCATTCATCAGGCACCCCTGGGAACACTTGCATCTCTTTACAGAAATTGGGGTTCCTTTGCAGGGCTCTGGGAGAGCACCACGGAAGAGTCCTCTACTTATCTTCAGCCCCAGCAGCATTAATTACAGAAAAGGATTCAAGTTTTCCCACTTCGTGACACATTTTAGGTTCCTGAATACACCGACATACAAACGTAGTGTGATTTTCACAAGCACTTAATCAAAACCATTTAATAGGTGTCTGTGTATATCTTTACAAGCCTAAACACTTGGTTTAACTCTCCTGTCATCTTGGTTTTGTATGTTATAGAGTCCTCTAAGCCCAACAGCATTTCTCAGGCTCTCTTGACCGTAGGTGTTCTACAGGTGAGCACTTATTTTTACAAGAATAGAGGCAGTGATGGACTAAAGTCAGGAAGAACAAATGCAAGAGAAAATATGCCAACAGAGACCTCAGTATATTCGGATGATACTGGAAGGAAGAGACAAAAACTGAAAATCAGTAACTGGGAAAGAAGGTATATTACAAGGGATAGGTCTGGTCAGTTATGCTTGAAAACAAACACAGAAGCAAAAGACATGGAATTAAGCAGAAGATGTAACATCACGCCTGTATCTCTTTACCCAAAGGTACTAAAAAATTTACCTTGGTTTCAGAAGGTCTGAAAAAGTAGATGAATGATGAACTGCTAACTAAAAAAGAAAACTTTAAGCTTAAAAAATGTTTTACAGATATGAAAGTGCAGCAACCATGCAGATGCCACAAACTTCCACTTTTAAGTAGTAAACTCAGTTCCAGCTGTTTCTTTCAGGAAATAGTAGGGTCTTTTTCATACTATATAGGTGAACAGAAACAAAAAGTGGTCTGCAGAGGTGAAAGCTCACGTGCCAATGATATGAATCACACACCTGTAAATGTCTGCTGGGGTTTTGATGTTAGGCAGCTCTGGAGTTGCATGGCTATTGCCACTGCCATTCTTCCGTTTACGCCTGGCCTCTTCTTTTTTTTCACTGAATTTCAAAGTAGTATTTTTTCCTGTGTTTATTCTTACCTGAAAATTGAACACAAAGGATGGTCTAGACCATAAAATCAACAATCATGCAGATCAACTGACTTCTGACATTCTCCTATCCAAGCAGTTGGTAACTATGAAGGGTACATAACTTAAACACATGAATGGTAACATTCATAGTGTGAACTGTTTACTCTTTACCACTTGCAGTAGGCTGGGGCATTTCTTTGCACTAATATGCAAGATTTTGCATATAATATATGAAAATCTGCTTGTTCAAACTCTGCTCAACAGCTGAGTTGTTCAACAATTAATTTAAAGTCCAGTAAAAAAAAAATTTAAAAACTCCAAGTCAGGATACTGCTTTTCCAGAAGCCAGGACAGCAAGCATACCTTTGAAGATCATTTTTTTAATACCATATTTGATACTGCAGGATCTTAACAGTGGGTTTCAAGCATTTGGGAAAAATCCAAAATGTCACCTACAGTTACCATTCCACATTATCTGCAATTTTCTGTCTTAGAAATGGTATGTATGTTTTATGTGATTTTTCTGAGAGAAAGATAAAAAATATACATAAATTACAAACCCTTTTAGGTTCAACAGTGTGAGAGAAAAAAATAGTTGGAACAGAGTTATCTCCAACATCTGTATCATCTTCATCATCACTACAATAATAAGTAGAGCCATTAAGGTGACCACCAAACAAGTCTGAATTTGTTACTTCTTTGTGGAAATTGCCCTGAGTAACACAGTCTTCTGCTCTATAAGTCCCGTTCAGATCTGTCCTCTTATCTTCTTTCTCCTCTTCAGATAAGCCTTCATCTCCTCCATTTGTCTCAACTGTATCAGGCATCCTATGGAATGAAAAATATCCAAGTGAACTGAGGCAATTCATACTCTTGAGAGACACAGGCATACAAAATCATGAACAAGCCTGTACGTGATTTTCTTTAGCCAGGTAATGTATTTTTAGCCAGACTGGGCAACTTTTTTTACACCCTGTAAGAATGACTACGTCCTTCCCATGTCAACTGGAAATACCAAAATCATGATACTCTGGTTATATGTACTGCTGTAGGATGAGAACAGATCTTAGGATGTCATTAAACGCTAAATGTGTCAGCTCCCACATTGTAAATGCAGGATTTTCTTCTAGCCTGTGGGAAATGGATTTTACTTCCCCCTCTTTTATAATCCTAAGGAAAAATATACTATACTGCTGGATTGCTGTGACTGCATATCAGAGGCAGGTTTCAGAATCTTTGGCCTTGCAGCATGTGCTTTGTTCATGTTCCACCCTTCTTCCACTTATTATACTGTTAACTGCATTTAATCAATAGCCTATCAGTTATCTACACTCATGGCAAGATCCTTTGTGTACAAACAGAATCACACGCCTGTAACTTTCTGAGCTCCAAACCTGACAGTGCTACTGCAGCACTGTACCTATCGAGTTCACCAAGTAGCATTTCTTGTCTCTCCAGCTCTTCCAAGCGAGCCCACAGTTCCTCTTCTGACTGAAAACGGCCCATGGATTTTGTATCATTTCCATTCACTGGAAAATCCACCTCAAAAACATCTGATACTTTTGGCTTTGAGTGAGGTTTGTGAGCAGTTCGGTATCTTCCTGTGTAATGAAAAATAAGATGTAATTACTAAAGCAACTTACAAAAAAACCTCAAAACCCACAATCCCAAAACCTGGGTGGTGGGAAAGAAACACGAAAGAATTAAGGGATACAAGCAGAACATTTTCCATTTCAAATTACTGTTCAACTGTTTAAGTGAAACTGTCAATGACCCAGAGCACCAAGCACAGGATAATAGTCTAATAGTCTCCGGATGTTACAGACATACCGAGGCACAGCAGAGATGTTTATTGACAAAGCAGGAGACACTGATCCTATGACACTTTAATTACACCGTGGTATTTTTTACCTCTTGTACCAAACAGTAGACTTTGATTTCCTCTGATAGACACCAGCGTGTGAATGTGACATTTGCTCACCGCCCCATTAACAGCAACATTTTATTTACCAGGAAAACAAACCTAGTTCGTACTTTTGCTCATTTGGGGCAAAGCTACCTATATTTAAAGAGTTAGGTTTTGGTTATATTTTTTTAAATTTAGAATGAAGATCATTAAAAATGATCCCCAGAGTCCTCTGGAAAATCTGACCAAAATCCAGTCATTATGTATCACTTACTTTAGGGAAAAAGATCTACTCTGAAAAGCATAGAAAAACCTGCCCTTCAGAAATTATAAACATAAATCCCTTTAAAGCTTCAGAGGTGACCCAAGATAAACACTTGTGAGTAAATGGTAGCCACCAACAAGTTCTTGCTGTCATTTAAAAGCTTTGCTACCCAGTAAAATGGTGCATTCACTGAGGATGGGGAATACTTTTTACCATTTGAGTGCTGTCTAGCACATAGGGAACAAACCGCCCGTCAACAATACTAATGCTTTAGCCCTGTCTGTGTGAAGGGCAAGACTGCTCCTTCAATCCCCCTTCTCCCAGAGACCAGCAGCTCCTTGGGCATTGCCTGCACCTACACAGTACCAGGCAGCTTCCCAAGGGACATTTCCACTCTGCCCATCAGCACCCCCAAACAGCATCTGCACCTCTCTGCAGGAGGAAGGACCCTTCCCCTTCCATTCCTCCCACAAATACACCCGACGTTTTGTCTGTACAACAGGACTCCAATATCTCTGTGGGGTTTATGAAATTCTTTGTGCATCTAATCAACAGTAATACAGTGTCCTCGTTATTCAGCATCCTTCAAGTTTTAGAATCTCTCTCTTAACTAATTGTGTGGCCATTTTTTTAATTTTAAGGACTAGTGGCTTAAAGATATCCTTATTCAAATACATCAGCTTACACTTTAATCCTGAGTTAAATACAAATTCAATAGCAACATTAAAAAGCAAACAGGTGACTGTAAGTGATGTTGGAATGTGTATCCCCTACTCTTCCACGGGATAGCGTTTTTCATCATCTCATTAAGAAAAGACTGAAAAGTACTTTATTGAGATTTGAATATAAATTGAGGTAAGCTAAGCAATCAGAGTAGCTTGGGAGAATTTCATTTGGTATAATTACAAAATTAATAAATAAAATTTGGGAGGATTAGTTAACAATCTATTTCAATTTGATTTTCAGATTATGCCCTCCCAATTTCTTTCTGTTACACTTCAGTGTTAATCACTGACTTGACTACCAAGGTAAGCATGTGGCTTCCTGAACACCAGCTAGTGCGTGAATGTGCCAGTGGTTCTCCCTCATTCTAAGAAACCTGTCCATTAGGAAACCAGGTCAGATCTCAAAGACAACAGAGGATGACCACTTGCTGTTTCAATATCCACTGTGCTCAGTCACCGTCACTACAAGGCACAACCACTAACTTCACACACTAACAAACAAAAAAAGTGAGATATTAAAATACAAAATGGAGAATCACTAATTAACTAATGAGATGCTCAGGACACTTGTCTTTGTCTTACTCAGAGATAGAGCCCATTTCCACATGAACAAAACCAACTCCCAGTCTGCTGAAGCCCAGGCTTCCTCAAAATAATCACCAAGTTGTTCTTTTAGTTACTTCTCTTTCAGTCTCATTAGAAATTGGTGCTGATACAGAATGTACTAATTCCCATTTAAAGATTACCAGCAAAAGTTAGGATGATTTCAGAAGACCATGATGATGACGAAAGTTCAGGAGACTGAGGCTGCACAAAGGGTGACCTGGCATCCACAGCATGCTGCTATTAACACTGCTACAGTGCAATGCATTTCCCAGAATGTTACTCCTCCTATTTTGCAATGACATCTACCCAGAACAGAGATACGCCCTGTGGTGGTTTAAGCCCAGCCAGCAATTAAGTACCAGCCACTCGCTCACTCTCCCCTGCCTTCAGTAGGATGAAAATCAGAAGGTAAAACCCATGGGTTGAGATAAGAACAGTTGAATAACTCAAGTAAAATATAGTTAGAGTAACAGTAATAGTAATAATACAAGGAAATATATAGAGATAAAAATAAAAGCCAAAAAAAGACAAGTGATACACAATACAATTGCTCATTGCCCATCTCCAAGCAACAATCAGGGGCTCCTGGCCAACTCCCCCCAGGTTTCTGTACTGAGCATAATGCTCTGTGGTATGGAAGGACCTTTTGGTCAGTTTGGGTCAGGTGTCCTGTCTCTGCTCCCTCCCGGCTTCTTGTGCCCCTCCTCACTGGCAGAGCATGAGACTGAAAAGTCCTTGATAAGGGTAAGCGCTACTTAAAACAACTACAACACTGGTGTGTTATCAGCACTTGTTCTCAGACTAAAGCCAAAACACAGCACTGCACCAGCTACCAGGAAGCAAATTAACTCTATCCCAGGCAAAACCACGACATCCCTTAGTCAGCCTTGGCATATAAAGAATATTGTGATTTATTCCAGAAAAATGGAATGTTGAACTGCCCAGCTTAGGCCTTTGCAAATTAACTCTATCCCAGAAAAAAACATGTCACCCCTTAGTCAGCCTTGGCACAGAAAGAATATTGTGATTTATTCCAGAGAAATGGAATGTTGAACTGCCCAGCTTAGGCTTTTGCAAATCACGTAGTACTACTCCTTCTCAAAATGTCCAAGTGATGCTATTTTCAGATTGCAAAATTACTTCTTCCTCCAACTTTGCCTGAGTCTTATCTATCAAGCACCACTTCAGATGGCACAGAAATTATCAAATCCCTCAGCCCAGCTATCTTTGTTTCCCAGCATCCTCTTCAGAAAACTTCAGGAAGTATCTGCTTCAGTACATTGGCTGAGATTGTTTTCACCTTTGTTTCACCGACAGTAGTGGAACACCCCAGTGGATGCCAACATTTACATTGTCCATGTATGTCTCATCCCTGTCTGTGCCTCTTCCCCTTCCTCCTGACACTGCTTGCATCCTTTCCCCGTAACAGGCAGAGCCTGCAATTTTCTAGCCTGCCTTCTGTTGTAAAATTCACACTTGGATGCAAAAAATGTCTTCCCTGGTTCCCTCCCCACGAGCCAGAATACTGTATTTTCTGCCTCTCTTCTAGAAAACTTCAAACTCCCAATGCAGACTCTTGAAACAAATAAAATCCCTACAGTATGCCCAGCTGATGGCTACCACAGAATTCCACAGCGAAACTGAGGGACAAAAACCGTCTTACCTTCAGATTGCCAAATTTTAATTTGAAGAAAGCAATTTTTTAAATGTAAAAGATACAGTGCAATGAAATAATCTGGTCAATCCCACATAAAGAATGTTAATCCTAGAAAAGGAATATTTTGCTTACTATTATTTCAAGACATACATTTATTATTAGATCACTTACCTTTTGTTCCAATGCTATCATCTTCAATTTTTTCTCTTATGTCAACAAAATCACCTGCAGCCTAATTAGAAAGATGGAAAGTTAGGATTATTAAATGCACTAGTTTATGCTTATTAACAGCCCAGCTATTTTTAAAATAATGCATAACAGCAAATGCAGCTAGATGCAAGACAGGAATGACTACATTGCTTATACCCTTTTCTTGATCTAAGTATTCATTAATTTCCAGAATTTTACAAATATTACGAAATCGGGATGAAACAAAATAATTCACTTACATCACTCATCTTCTCCAGTTCTTCTGTGAATTCAGCTCGTGATGCAAAATTCTTCACAACTTTTTGCAAATCATCCAGCGCTTTCCTTACAT